ATCTGGATCCTCTACGATAGCGGAAGAAAGGTCAACCCGAACGATGGCGGACGTGATTAAGAAATATAAGATTATTGACTATTTGCAGAGACAAGATTTTAGATCTGAAAGAATCCCATTTCAAGATTTTTCGGCAGGAAGAAATCACAGGTCGTGCATTTCTTAAGACTACCAAAGAAGAATTTCGTAGCTATGGCTTGAAGGGTGGGACTGCAACCGTTCTTGTGGATTTTATCGAAGAGATAACAGAACAAAAAGACACGTAGTTTCTCATCATATAAAACATTAGACGAGCTGAAGGACGTTCTCCGTAAATATAAGGTCAATGGTGAGGATATTAAGAGCATCAAGCAATTCAATCCAGGTATGTAATACTTAATTTTAATTTTTTTTTTTCTTGGCATTATCGGGCGAACCAAGATCGCTGAAATTTCTTGGCAAAAAGTGATCGGCGTGAACAATTGTTCACGCTCACATAGATTATATGTTAATATTTTTTCCATTGTATAGTTTTCGAGGAAATCGATGATAACGAACAATGCATGAACGAAATAACACTAAGACTTTCAAATCTGGAAACGATGCAGACTAATGCTAACGAAGCTACTCGCTGTGTATTTATTACATCGATATTAAATGCATCGCTGGCAATCGTTCGAAAAGTTACAAATGAGGAAAAAATCTACATATAATACCAAAAAAACGTTTCTGGTGAAGAGGCATCTGGTCGTGTTGACTATGCCATCAAAGGAAACGAATACCTTATGTGTATAGCCGAAGGAAAGCCTCGAAATGTCGAAATTGGTTACCTTCAGAATATCATGCAACTTGAGAGCGCATACCATACAAATAAAAAGAAACGTACCGCAGATGAAGCTTTCAAGGATGATGATTACGATTATCTCTACGGGATAGTTTCCACAGGTATATACGTGAATTTTGGAATAATTGAGATTTTTCCATACTAACTATCGCTTAATATTTTTAGCTACGGAATGGCATTTTATCGTTTTTGCTACAGATGGTATTTATTGTACCAGCAAAAGCGAATATCCTATCAATCTTTCTAAATTGGCTCTCGAAGAGGACCTCGAATCAATTCGAAAAGGTGTAAAACGAGTGTTAGGCATCATCGTTGGGTTGTTAAAGGATCGGATCAGTGTAGATAATTCCCCAGCCAGTAAGAAAGCTAGGATCAAAAAATTTACAAAGTAATGGGTAGGCTCGAAGAGCCATGATTCGGAGAATTGCCTAGTCCAAAAGACCATTAATCTGTAATAAAGGCTTGTTTTGTAATAGATTTCTCGCTTCACATGTACATGGTAATCAACCGTGATATTTTTATTTGTATCAATAAAGCGGGGTCGGACCTCAAGGTAAATACGACTATCTATTTTTGGTTATGAGATGATATCTTCGACATATAATGATCTGATCACTGTATTTCATTCTTCACAATTGTTTGAATAAAAAGAGGTATGATTACGCAATTTAATCGAGTTATTTTTGTCGAGATTTTGAACAAGATAGGGCTTAACCCACTGCTTTGCAATAATGATAATGATTCACAGTGCATGTTATTTGTGTAACCTAATTTTTCGGATTGGTTATTAAATATTTTTTTCGTTGATCGTAATAAACAAATCTTCCTCTCTTTATTTAGTTTCGGAGGTAATGTTAATTCGAGTTAACTTTGCTCTATGTGTTACACCCTTTATAATGAAGATACGATAAAGGTGTGATGTTGCCACGATAAACTTTTTTCCTATACTAGGAAACGGGAACCGTTAAACGTCCGAAGCATGCATCACGTTGAATTAATTATCATTAGAGATGGCACATGTATCATCATTTATGCCCAGACAGTATGTAACCAATTATAAAGTTTATTATTACTTCATTATAAAGAGTTTAATAAAGTTTATTTCGGAATTATTTCGGAATTATATCACGTGGGGACAGACAAACACGGCGTCCTTTTGCTTCGTATGTTAATGTCTTTTACTTTATTTCGGATCACATAAGGAACAGACAAACACAGCATCCTTTTGCTTCGAATGTAAGTGTCCTCTACTTTACTTCGGATAGTACTATAGTAACTTATGCTCGCTTCAGGCGTTTAGCAGTCCCCGTTGCCTAGTTTATCATCAATGTCATCATCAATATCATCATAATATATCACGTGGGGACAGACAAACATGGCGTCGTATGTAAATGTCCCCTGCTTTATCATAATATAATATCACGTGGGGGACAGACAAACATGGGGTCCTTTTGCTTCGTATGTAAATGTCCTTCGCTTTGCTTCGGACAATAATTATATAAAAAAAGATCTAGTCGCGTTTGAGTTGTGTTAAATTTCTTGTGATGTAGACTAATATACTGCGCCACATTTCTGCGCCAATTACGACACAGAAAACCAGATATCGATAACTGATAATAAAAAAATTTGCTTATGCGCGACCTGTTGATTGTCGTACATATCCCCGCGCCAAAATGATTTGTTTTATTGTTCTCTAGCATTTACATTCGTACTCATTGCTTACATTATTATAATTGGCATAATCACTGTGCTCTTGCCCATTTTGATCCCATTTGTTGGGTATGAATAAATAGAAAAAATGTGTATTCTGTGAAAACCATTTATACTAATACGATCAATGTTTCATTAACTAGACTTTTTATTTTATCTAAAATAATGGAGACACTTCAAACAGCTCAAGACAAACCATTTGAAACGCCTCAAACCCTCCTCAAGTATGAGAGAAAACCTGCTCAAACGCAAAAGTTTCTTGGTAATGGTATGGAAAAATTTAATTATAGTGTGATCATATAGAGTTTTTAGTGCATGTTTTTATTGACTCCCAATGGTGTGACTATATGGGAATGCGACTGTACAGTGGCGATACGTGCTTTTGTTGTTAAAACATTTTCTTAACCTATAATTGTAGCTCGCGTAGGCAACAACTTCAGGTGGCCCTCCTCGATGCCAGAACGCTTTAGAAAGAATGCCTTCAGAAAAATCGCTGACGTTGAGTTCGAATTTGACGACGAGATCGGGTTTAACCTCATATTTTTCTATAACGCACTCGACAGAGGCGAATTTATTGGACATGAAAACGAGTGGGTGACGGTGCACAACCGGAACATAATAGAGTATGGACAGGAGTATAGCGATGATCAATTGAATCATATTCTTGAAACCATGCCCGGCGCCATTCAACTCCCGGTTGATCAGACACGCCTGCCACGTAGTAAGCCGGCGAAGATGGTAATTGTTCAGCGTGCTAATAGTGGGGACGATTGCAAGGTTTGAATATATACTTGATGAGAACCGGTTATCTTCTTATAAGATTACGTAGAATTCGTATAGTTTTTCAAGTTAATTTGATTTTCTGAATAAAGGTCAGGGTTTCCGTCAGAAGACCTGGTGAAACTAATTTAGTCTCTCTGCTTCCGTATGATTTTTATGATACCATGAATAACAACAAAAAGTATACGTGCGTCGTTGATACAGGTGCACCACAAACAATCTTACCATATCATGTTAAAAGAGCGCTTGGGAGGAGGGGGTGGAGTACAATTCATACAATGGCTGGGGGTTATGGGGCGCCTGCAGAACAAATTCGTGCATCTATGATGTTTGAGGTGTCCGTTGGCGACGATAATAATTGGACCAAGTGGGTTCAAGTCAAAATTCTACTCTGGGAAGAAGATCCCGGCAATCAAGTGGAATATGCCCTCATAGGTAATTATGTTACAGATCAATTGGCATACGCACATGAACCAGGAAACCCATTAAAATTCTTAGATAGTGTAGATGAGGCTAGGCTCACGGCATTTTTGAATGGATGCAGTTAATCCCTAGTTAATAAAAATTGAAACTGATTTACCTCGATAAGAATTTTGTATCTAGTACCAATATGACTTTATAACGGTATAACAGATATATAAGGATCTCAACGCAGTTAATTAATCAATCTTGCACCCTTAGTTATTGTTTCATATAATCCCTAATTCTCGAAGATGTTCTGGAATAACTATATATGGGTCTTCGTAATACCAAACATACCTTAAAACGATCCAGTTTTCTTCGCACAATTCTTTCTTGATTTGATCTCGTTCCTGCTGTTTGATGAAATTATCGGAATCGCCTCTATGAAAGAATTCGATATACTTTTCGTGTTGATGCCGGTAGAAGTTTCGCAAGGTGGAGATCAATCGAGGATAATAAAAAAGCATAGGTCATCGAGTAATCTCACAGAAGAGTCAGGTTAGATTAGACAAAAAATATCACCTACATATTTTATTTGTAACAACAAAGCAAATATATGTATACATACATGTATATTTTTTACCGAATTTATTTTTATCTCGGCAAAGTGATCGGCGTGACAAATCGACACGCATACATGATTTTTTAGTCGCTAATACATATGTATAATTGAATATTTCCGTATCTTAAATAAAACAATGGCAAACACGCAATCGAAAAATGATGAGTTGGAAACTCGAGACTCTGTCTCATCGTTGAGAGAATTGAATTCCAAGCTTGTAGCCGAGATTGCCGAGCTTAGAAAGGAGAATGCCAAGATTCCCGAACTTAGAAGAGAGAAAGATTTGCTTATGGCTAGAATCGTAGAATTAGAACGATCCGCAAAAGAAAATGCAGAGAATATAAAATTAAGAGATGCTAATCTCGATTAAGGGAATGCTAAACGAGATGCTGAAATTATAGAGCTTAGAACCAAGATAGCAAAATTAGAATAAAATTATAACAAAACAATTGATAATGAACAGGATATACCTTCTACAGAAGAAATTCAGTTCATATCGTCTGAGAAAAACCAAACTGTTACTGATGCGAGAAATGTTAATAGTCCTGGTAAGATAAACTTGCAAACTGATGATACCCCCGCATCTGACATAACTGATGAAGTTTCAAATTTTGATGAACCCAATAATGCTTCAGCATCTGATATATCTGACAATACTTCAAAATCTGATGTAAATTCGGGGTCTTCATCTCAATATCCCGTATCACCTATTCGCACAGGGAGTAAATCATTGGAAGACAAGGAGGTCGATGCATTCTTGGATTCAAAGTATAAGGAAAAGGTTAGTAAGGATATAATTCCAAATATCAAGGAGAAGAAGCTTCGGAATCAAGAGTTGCTCTTAACTCCTGAGAATAATACTACTGATATTTCACGTGAGCAGGGTTTAATACAAGAAATATCGTCATCTATCAAAGAGCAGGCGCAAAGTGTCATTTCTTCCGAAATAAATCATGCAATCAAAATTTCAGCGAACAATGTTCGTCCAAAATGTGATAATTCCGAAATTTCAGCGAACAATGTTCGTCCAAATTGTGATAATTCCGAAATTTCAGCGAACAATGTTCTTCCAAATTGTAATGAATCCGAAATAACACAAGACTCAGAGACCCAAGATATTATCTGTTTATATCAAAATGCATGCGACGCAGAAAAAGATGCAATCGAAGCTAATCGAAAAGAAACATTACGTTGGTGCTTCTATGTTAGAGAATTCAAAAGCATGTATGAAGATTTTATGATCAATGATGGAATTGGGGAGAAAAAAGCAAAGGGTCGAGTGTACGATTTTATTATTAAGCAACTCCCAGGTACCAAGCGTGGAAATTTATGTAAGCAAACGCAAAAGGCTTTAAGAATTTATGATTTATTCAAAAAAAATAGGAATGGATAAAATTCAATATATCAAAACATATAGCGCTGATACTATTTCAAGATTTACTAACTTACAGATTCAAACTATTATTGATCATTTCGCTAAAAAACCTGACGTAGAATTCGCCGATGATCAGGATAATAGTGATTCTTTAGACGATTTATCCGAAACTGAGGCAGGTGATACATCCACTCCCTCTATTCAGTCATCACATATTTCTAATTCGGTAGATGAGGTAAGTGTATCCGATGATGAAGATTCCAACTTTGATGAGGATCCCTTCAATAACAACGAAGATGAGAACGTTAATGATAATGAGGATAATGATGAGAATTTCTCTGATGATGGGTTCTGTGGATTTTCTGACGATGATGATGAAGGATATTATTATGATTTAAATACCGGTGAAGCTTATGCAAAATCGGAACATCGTTATTCAATCCGCGCATATTGATGGTTATTCGAATCTTACCTTTCTTTATAACTTTTCGGATGTAATGCTAATCCAGGTTGGCATGATATTTTTTTTCCTTTATTTGCACCATTTTCGGACGTAATGTTAATTCGGGTTAAAATCTTTCATTTTGGATCGCTCGGTCTGAGATGTGTAATTCCATTTCGTATATACTGTATGTTAATTTGTACCTGATCATATCAGCAGAACTGGCACGGCCAATATGTCTCTTTCTAGCCTCAAAGCCCTTGCGCATAGTATCCTAAAAGAAACGGGAGAAATCGTCCAAGATGAGGAAGGGTCTTATTGTTTCCAGACAAAAATAGCAGAAATTCACCAGTTACCTCAATGCTCAGAATGTAATAAAAAAATTCTATCTATTACATACGAATCATTCACTTTACTTGCGTGTGGACATATCTTTCCTAGACTTTGTATCGAGAAAAAAATTCTGCTTACCGTACCAAGTATATGCCCTTTTTCTGGTTGTGGCAAAAGCATGAAACTCAGAGACGGGACTCTGTATCTTCTCAAATAAGTTGCACGTCAACTCTAGTTGATGAATTTACCCATAATATTGAGATTAATTCGTCAAGAATTTCCTCCCAGGATCGAGACGTGGATATGGTTGAGAAGATTTCGTCTCAAGATCAAGATGTGGATATGGGTGATAGAGATGAGGACGGGGAAGAAGAGAAAGAAAACGAATCTCAAGTTGAAACCCAATCCGATTCGACAGGTAAAAAGCGGACTAATGAAGCTACAGATCAATCAACCGAAAATTCTTCCAGTAAAAAAGTTAAGAAAGTAATTAAGGATGAGGACTCGATCTTGTTAAAAAGGCTTATCCGGGAATTATCGTCTGATACCACTCGAATTTCTGAAATTAGGGAGAAAAAAGGTCTTCACAAAGAATCAGTACGAGAAGTTAATGGTTCCCGAATTTTTTTCGATCTATATTTAAAAATTTCCAAAGCTGAGGAAAATAGTGATAATGCACGTCATGAAGTCTTAAGAGCATATTACTTCCTTGGAGAGGAATTAGAGAAACGCCTTACCGACTATAAGCAATCCATGGAAGAACATGAGGCTCAAAAGAAGGTTAACGATGAGGTTCGAGACCAGCTCCCAAAGGAAGTTTCCAAGAATACACTCCGAAAGAAAACAGAAAGAGCCAGAAAAATTTATGATCTTTTTTTTCGTATTGGTGGAGACAAAGTTCAAAGGATGACATATATCCAACGAATAAAAACGTTTACGGCACCATCGATTTCAAATTTAAGTTCAGAAAATATCAAATATGTAGCATTACAGGTTAGGAAGAATACTAGACAAACTTAGGCCTGCTCCGCAGAATTCTGGGTAAATATAGTGTCACGTGATGATGATATAACTCGACCGTGACTGAGTAGACATGGTCTCGAAGTTTGGCACTTTTTTGATAATTAAATAATAAATAAAGTCTACCCATATTTGGGCTTTATATTTTTTAGCCTCAGTCTATATTCGGTAATGAATGCACATAACACATCTTTCGCAGAAAGTACATCGCGTATTACATATGGCGACCATATAAATCGTTATTGGTATACATCACTGCAAATATGGCAAATATACACAACTCATCTAATAACCCAGGCGCTCTTCGAGCATTCGCATTAAAATTGAATCATATATTTTTAAGTATAAAATCATTAAATCTAATAAGTCTAAATCCCTAAATACAATATAATCACATATAACGCTATAAATAGATCATAT